TTAAAAATAAAAATTCTTTATCATACCGGACTATTTTCATATGAAAGAAAAGATATTTAAGAATAGATTAAAATATTTTATTTTCTTTCTTACTGTGACGATAAATATTTGCTTATGATAGTGAATTTTATTTAAATACCATCATTTATTATGACTAAAAATCTTCGAAAATATCCCAATATTTACAATTGATAATTTATGTACTAATTATACAATATATTAAATTTAATATATTATTAGTCAATTTTTAAAGAAATAACTAAAATTTACAATTATTAATTTGTTATTAGTTTATACTATAGATTATTTCCAAATGTTTTCAAACAAAATGTCTTTTGTAATTTTGAAGATATATAAATTTTTCATATTACAGAGATCAATATAATTAAATTATATTTCTATATAACTGTATTTACATTAATAAGAGAATAAGATATCATCTGTAATGCTACCTTTAGTATGCAGTTAGATAATTACACAGATATTAATACACGCATTTATTAAGACATTATCTTCGTATCATCTTTATGGGATATTTATATAATCATTTTGGTGATGTATTGCATAAAATACTCTATTGTATAAAATAATCAAGCTACTTAAGATCATTTATAAATTTATTTATAAATAGCTCATGAATCTTACAATATACAATATAAAGATAAGAAAAGGGTACTAAAATATCATCAAGAGTCCCTAAATATAATTATACAGATATTATTTCTGTATGTACCCACAATAATACTCTATACGCTATTTTTGCTGTTCATCTAAGTATATAACAATAATTACGCACAAAAGGAATACGCACATTCCCTTTATATATCTCTTTAAATATCAATATTAACCAAATGCCAAAGAAATTTAGGCAATTGGCACAATGCAATGTTTGTTTAAATAAACTTTTAAGTAAACACTAATTGTTGCTGCGCAATATAAAGCAATAACAGTATCTTTTGACGTCAGATCACAGTTTCTTTATACGACAAACGAAGGAACGTGGAACTTTAAAGCACTATCAAATGCAATTGATCGATTAAAAATAAACGAATACTTCATCACAAATCTCATATTTTCAAAAAGTATCACGATACTTCAAATTTATCATCGCTCCAGACAGGACAGACAAGAATCTATTCGTGAGAAAAGATAATAATAATAAAAAGGAAAACAAATTGTATATCGATATAATTTTGTTGTATTAATAAATCCTTACAACGTGTATCCAGTGTCAACAAGCGTTGTAACGAATCGTAGAACACGTTCCAGCTATTTCTTCGAGTGGAAATGCATATACACTGCGTTCCGAAAAAGAATGGGAAACGTTTTGACAAAGACTTTCGGTTAATTTTCAAGGAATCGAGGCCACATCTGGCATTTTCGTCTCTTTTTTTTCGACCAGAAACGCGTTTATATTCGTATATTTCCACACAATTATTTTTGCAATCGAGGCCGTTGTACGAGAATTCACAGGAAATTTTGGTGATGCAGTGCCACGCGATAAAAAGAGGTCTGCGATCACCAAGACGCAGATGCTTACGATTAAGATATTTATAATTCATGATCAACAATTATATTTACCGATTGCAGAAATTTCAATTATCTCGATTTAGATAATTAACCGTTGTGCCGATAATAACTGCAGGTTTAAAAAAGAACAAAAATTCTTTGGGAAAACAGAGCATCGGGATTTAACAGTACAGCTACCGGCTTGCAACGTGTACCTAAATATAGTATACGTAATAATTAAAATGGTGCGATGAACGTAAATAGGAACATGTAATTACATTGATATGACTCAACGAGACAACGTTAATTTTGTAGAAAATAGCTACGTGTCTTCAATAACTGTAAAAGCAGAAAATCTGAGACGAGTCACTTTTCCTGGTTTGGTAGTCCTAATGTTAAACCTCTTGATGTTTCCAGGTTTGTCGTGTCACTAGCTAGTAACTTCAAATAAACCCTGACTTCTACACTGATCAATGTGCAATTTTGAAATAAATTTCTACCTTAGACATTAAATTCATATTACATATAACGAATTTTCAAGCATTTCAACTGACTTAAATCTCTGAAGAAAATTCAAACTAACGGATTACGAAAGAATTTAGAAACTAAAAACTAGTAACTTTGAACATGTTCAACTGAAACTTCCAAAATTGTATAGAAATTTTTTGAATTTTATTTATGAAATTTTGTATTATGTTTTTACTGGATAAAATCTTTTTTCGCGTATAATATAAAGGAGAAAATATACTATTTTAAATAAAATATCTCCTTTGTTTAAATTTTTTTTTATTATATTCTTTCAAAATTGTATAGAAATTTTTTTAATTTTATTTCTGAAATTTTGTATTACGTTTTTACTGGATAGAATCTTTTTTCGCGTATAATATAAAGGAGAAAATATACTATTTTAAATAAAATATCTCCTTTGTTTAAAATTTTTTTTTTTATTATATTCTTTCATATGGGTGTAAAATTTTCATTCTTGTAAAAATTGTTTAACGTTTTTAATATTACACAAGAGGGAATATACAAGATATATGGAATATAATGAATTAAGGCTTAATTGGACCAGATAATGCACTTACGAAAGTTGTTTGAAGAAGCAGTGCACAGAAATGCGTGCAAAAACGGTACAGCGTATATACCAGAGTGATTTCATCTAACTGGAGGATACCTAATCCATTTACGGATTGAATATAATTTATGTTATTTCCATTTAACGCGTATAATGATAACCTTTTATATTTCAATATCAGAATATGCTTCATAAATTTCTCTATCCTATTCCTTACATTTCCATATTCATCAAAGTATTTATTTTAAATTTACGATTGATTTACGTGCGAAATAAATTATTTTTACTATAAAGATGAAATACATTGAATATTCTTTGTACGAATTTTTATAAATTCTAAATTATATAAAATATTTTTAAAGCGTTTACTATAGGAGGCAATATACGATTAAAAAATAGAAACGCAATTAATTAACCTAGTTAACTGATATGGGTGACCTGGATATTCAAGGGTATTGCTAAGAAAATGATATAAATGTTACTTATGTGAAATTGAAAAAGATATATAAAATATACCTTCGCATAATTAAAACAACGCAATAATTTCTTGAATTTTTACTCTATTAATTTTTAAGAAACTAAACATAATAAAATAATAAAATTATTCTAAAGAAAAAAATTCTAATTTAAATTTACCACGAATAAGTTTTATTATATTGCTGTATAACAATGTTAATCTTTCAAGATATAATGAGAGAAGACAAATTTTCATTCGATACATGATAATAATATCGAAGAATGACGATGACTATCCTTATTCTTGAATTCGTATCTGATTAGTTCCAAGAAATAAAAAGACTTCGAAGTTTTCAATATGTTCCATGAACTGTTTAATTAATTAAAATTCTTTTGTAATTTTTAAACAAGAGAACGGCTATAATTTATTAACAATAAATGATACAAAAGAAGAATAAAATATTTGTACAACTCTTAGGATTTACTAAGGCAAATAAGTAAATAATGTAGAAGATAAAAACAATTTTGGTATCAACGTAAAAAAATTAAGTAACCAATTTCAACTCCAACATTTTCTAAATATTCTTTTTTTTCTTCTTTAAAAGGGGAAAAGGTTAGAAGAAAAGAAGAAACTATTTCTAAATATTTCTTCGATATTACATTTTAACGCGGAAACATACCACTATATGATATTGTTTTTGAATTTCTATTGTTATTTTTGAAAATCTTTTCTTTACAATTAAAAACAAAGAAATTACTTTAATTATTTAAACTATTTAAAATATTTTGGATACGTTAAAATACATTTATATAGTACCAATTGGCGTAAATAATATATAAATAAAACATAAAAGAATATTCTCATTTTTAATATTATTGCGTCAGAATAAATAAAATTGTTATATATTACCACGTAAGAAGTTTTGCTACTATCATATAGATGATGTTATTTACTCGAATACCTTTTTATTATTAAATATTTTCTTATTTCTTTTACCAATTAACTAAATTCAATCAATGCTAAATTAAATTTCAATAAATTTGCATATTCTTTGGTAAATATCAAATTTTTAAGGGAACCAGTAATGAAAGTAAATAAAAGAGAAAATATCAGTTAAATCATAAAATCAGTTAAAAATACATGAACATTATCGGAAATATAAATCTGGAAAAACCTTCGGTCGACAAGACTAAAAATAACGAAAAATTTTTAACCGCTATAGGTCGTTGCAAGGACTCAAGGATACACGTGATAACGTATTTTTGACAATACGATCTCTGGCATGTGATGATGTTAAAATACATTCTTTTAAACAGGATTTTTTCTATTGTGATAATACAAAATTAATAAAATTAATGAGATACTTTTTATATGGAAAAAAGTAATCATTTAGGCATTTTTCATCTATAAAATGGAATTTCTGTATTTTATATGTGCAATATTTAACAGTTTCTCAGTTGTTCTTACACAATTCTCCAAATAAATAAGAAAGAAGAAAATGTTATATAGTAAATCACAAAACGTATCTTAAATTTTGCAAACAAGTCTGTAATTAAAGTAATCGTTATCAACTCATATAATGTATCATTTTAAAACAAAAAGTAATAACTTATGTGCCTTGTAACAGAAATTTACAATTTAATAGCAAAAAATGGTTTGGTATAAAAGAAAAATAAATTTTGGGTTAAACATATACCGTAATATTACATTTACCTTGTCATAATTGAGGAAATAAGTATGTATCATTTACAAAGTTCTTAGTATAGACTTTTTATTATAAATGTATACTATAAAATTATTTATGTACATTAAATATATCTAAAACTATTCTATGAGACTTCTATCAGCATTTTTAAATGTAGATTTAATGCAATAATAAACATGAAAATAAACTAACAACAAATTAAAATTAAACCCAAAATTTAATTTACGTTAGAAAACATAGAAAAAAAAAAGTACCTCTTGAGTAAGTTCTGCGGTATTAGTTGGCTCATCAGGATTTTGTGTAGAATTTGATGGGTCAGGCGATGTCATATTCCTAGTCGGGTCTGTAGAAAGTGATATACTAGGTCCTGCTATAGCAATGTCTCTTGCAGACTCTTCAATGTTTAACAAATATGCATGGATGTCGTTTAAACCAGAATTTATTCTATTGTATCTTCCTAAGGAATTTAAGTCTTCAAATAAATCTCTCTCATAATTTAAAAGCATAGAATCTAAATTTTTTGGGTGAACAAAGATAGGGCGATGAACTATTGTATGAACATCGGTGTGCCATCTAGAACCATTGTTTAGATCTAAAGAACCTACACCAATGGTTTGAATGTCCAAACCAAGGTAGTATTCTGGATCTAGTCGTAACAAAGAAAGTAGCAATGCTAATTGGAATAGTTCCTCGTGATACAATTTCTTTATACACAACATTGTGTTTCTTTTGTTTAGATCACTTCCAATTTACAAGTTTATTTAACATCCAAATTAGTTTAGCTTATTATCACAGTGGCTTGGCACATTCGATTCGAAGAACGGAGAAGATATCACAAAGAAAAAAAAGGTTCATCTTGTACTATTGTTTTGTTAATTCTTTATATCAGTCCAAATGTTCAATACCATTTCCACAATTGTCTGTATTTTAACATATTAAATATAAATAAAGTTGTATGCACTATTTTATCGTAGACAATTCGTTCTTAAATTATTGTTAGAGTTGCCAAACACCACTTTTTAAACTTTTGTTCCTTTCTTCAATGTCATCAGTATACGATATAAATTAAATAAAAGAAGATTATTTTTAGAGTTCTTACTGGAGCAACTTATTCGACAGACTGTCAGAATGAAAATAAAGATTCAGAGCTCTCTTTAAACAAGTATAGGTCAGTTACACGAACACAAAAATAACCTCAAAACACACACTGGCCACGTCAAACTTCAGTACACGTCGCGCACGTCCCACGCATGCCTCGAATTTTGTTTGACAATTCAAGGCGATACCTTTTTGAATTAATATTAACACTTTCTTTACACTGACACACCACGGCAATTATAGTAAAAAGTAAGAATTCAATTTAATAGTAGAAACTGACAGATCCACGAACAATACCGGGTCTAAAGTTTCTTGAAATTTGTTTCTATTAAATATTCGAGGCCTGCGGCAAGCGCCAAGTACTTCCTTTCTTAAATCATTTTGCTATAGTGATGTTATAATTCTAACGATGATAACGTTATACTAATGCAATACAATGCATTTCACAGAGAAACGAACTAGCACACCTTCCTGGGAGAGATCGTTCGCGATATGTGACTCAGCATTCACTCCGGCAACGTCGTTTCTCAGGGCCGCGCCAAGAGCATGCTTCTCCCTACATGCTTCCATAGATGACCAATCCGTTTAGCTTCAAACTCTTGAAATTTGAAATTTTTATTTACCGAGTTTCTTATTATTACTTACGTGTTAGCAATTTTTCTTTATTAAAATGTTTATGGCTTTCGATATAGTATACGAATGGCGATATAATGAAGACTACTAGTTGATATAAAAATAATTACAACACACGTGCTAATCATGCGGTGTATAAACACAAAGGTTCATTTATAATTACGAAATTTTAAATAGCAACATTTTATGTATATTTGTTTAGTCTAATTTAATAATAAAGTTAAACAGAAAATGAGTATATTAGTCATGCAAATATCTGTAATTTTGGAACGAATCATCGATACTTTATTGAAATTGAATATGTACGTACTTATATAACGATGTTGCATTTCATTGCATTTTCACTAGTTTTTCTATGCCATAGAAGTCTGCATTGATTGCGTAACCATTTCTTTAACGTTTAGTCATTTATACAAAGATTTATTACTATTGTTTATAATTATCAAATACGTATAAACAAAATCTACAGATAAGATAATACTTCCCAAAGATTTGAGTACTTATAGTACACATAATAATATAATACTTGCCAAGATTACACTTTTATATTTCATCTCACATTTAATTATGTCTGGACTTGGATATTTTTTTATCAGACAAATTTATTTCTAGTTAATGTATTAATTATATAACTAATCATATTTGATTATAATTGTAATGTCTATAATTGTAATTATAATTGCAATGATCATTATATTTAATATTATTAGTATGAATATAAATATAATCATTGTGAGTAAAAATAAAGCCATCAAAATATTTTAGTATTTAAACTAATATAAATTTATGTATTTGTATGTATCATTAATAAACAAGTACAAACAAGCTAACTTGTATATTATGTTAACAGATGAACTGTTAAAAAGAATATTATATAAGATCAAATTTTCCATAGGCAATTTGATCAATTATGTGAAAACTTCGGTATACATAATTTTATATAGTAATAAGACTATGATAAAAGTGCAAACGAATGGTTTTTCATGAAGCAAAAATTTATTATAATATGTACACAGTGGTTATTAAGATTGATTACAATTAAGGGAAACAAATTAATCGTATATGCAACTGAAGTCACGTTAAGTTAAACTGAAGTAAAGGAACTTCACTTGTGGTTACGTTGGTACGCTCTGCGTAGTTGCCATATTTAAACTGTTAATACAAGTTCATGAGTGATCAAGCAAATACGTGGACATGTGTAAGTATTCGTATATGGGAGTATGTGAATATGCATGTATATAATGTGTGCATATATAAAAATACGTGTGCATATATCCTGTACATGTACTGCAAATTTTCATACGTTTAGTATTTACCTCGCATATAAGTTTTGTTGACTTCAAATCCATTACATCGTTGCCGGGTGACAATGATGTCATACGCGGTAAATCCTCTGTTTGAAGCATGTCTCTATTAATCTTTTAATTTTTAAATCTATCCTACGTTAGGAGAAATCAACTAAGCACTGGTCAACACTGACTGGAGACTCGTTACTACCAATTATAAGCATGGGAGTGAAACACATTACGTCACTTAAGTTCGAGAAGCACTCTCACTTTAATAAATCGTTCTTTGAAGGTAAGTTGTGAACTTTCAAATTTCACATCACATTTCAGTTAAAACTCAATGACAAGTATTCTCGTAACAAGATTTTCCTTCACACAGTGATGCAGATATTAAGATCGTCGCGAAAGCAACCGTCTGTCGTTCCAGTGTAAGATAATTGGAATTTTTCTTGACTACGTCACTACGAGCTACAACCGCGCTATTTGAACATGGCGCGGACGACAAAGACACTCCGTTATATCGATGTTTCCGCATCCGATGTGCTATTACGCCGGCGCATTTGATTCTACAACTGGTACCAAAATACACATTTCAAATACGTGGTCACTGACGTGGTCGACTACGAGTTTTTAACATTTAACTGATAAAAACTTAAATATGATAAAAACTGTTATGCAAATTAGTGCTATCGCTAAGTTAAATATTTGTTACATTATTTATTACCAATAATTAAATTTCTCATACCAATTGTACAGTATAACATATGTATATTTGTAAAATATGCTTTCACTGTGGCTTAATATTTGAGCTAAAGAAATTTGTTGCTTTAATTTTTTTATTGTTTTGTCATCATTAAATTTAAATACATGTATTATGCAAGTATTAGAAACAATGCATATGCAACGTCCTTAATCAATAAGCTATTGTCATTTTTATTACATATTGGTTTCTTACAAATTAATTTATATTCATAATTCTTAAAGAATTAATTCTTTATCAAAAAATTATATGACTTTATAATATGTTTAATTAATTGTAAATATTTAATTAAGATTAAAATAATCTTGTTTGCATTTTTGTATCGGGAAAAGAGGATATCTTTAAATATATTTGAAAAGTTGATAAGAATTTGATATCATAATATTGTATGGAAGTAAATTATTATAATTTAAATTAATAATTAATGGCTGTTTATTATTTCATATTTTATGTCAAATTTTCCAAAAATTGACAATATGTTCTCAAATAAGTTAAAAAGAATTATAATTTATTATTTTTGTCTAACTTCTGCATTATGAAAGAAACTTTATCAAGTAAACTGACTTGGTTAAAGTTTCAGTTATATTTTTCATAATTATAATTTTTGTGCAAAATAATATATGTTAAAAAGAATTATAATTTATTATTTTTGTCTAACTTCTGCATTATGAAAGAAACTTTATCAAATAAACTAACTTGGTTAAAGTATCAGTTATATTTTTCATAATTATAATTTTTGTGCAAAATAATATATTTTTTTTTTTTAATGACGTAACAAATACAAGATTTTGAAGATATTTAACAACGTTGTATGTTTATGAAAATATCCATTGACAATAAGTCATGCATAAAGAAGTAAACTTGGCACTGAGCATATTTCATATTTTTCATATTTTCATATTTTTGGCTTTCATATTTGATTTTCTTGTTGTTGAAGTAGTTTTTGTTGCACAAATGTATATACATATGCAAATATATTGCAATATGTTACGATACACAAATAATAATATGTAATTAATAGCAAATTGAAAAATACATTTTAGTATTGGCAAATCTATGAAAGAATTGTGTTTGATATATCAATAGCAGTAAACTGTATTTTTATCTATTTATTTATTTAATGTTTATTCTTCCATTTTGATAATAATGACAGAAAATAATGTTATTATCAGATTTGTCATATTTTGTAAATATAATTTGCTTCAAATGTAATAAAAGCGACAGTGTATTAAAATATTTGTTTCTGAATATTATCCTGTTTATATATATCTGTATTTATCGCAACCTAATATATAATTTCGAGCTTAGAACATTAGATATTTAATAATAAGCATACAGTACTAAAATAATAATACTGAGGAAGTTGAAAAATTAAATTACACTATTCGGTATTAGTTTAGTATTACTTATAAAGTTATTTCATAACGTAAAAAGTACCGTTTTAATATTTCTGTTTACTATGTTAATAAAGCTCTTTGAGTCGATATTACTCGATATTGTACAGTATTTTGTTGAATCATATTCAATTATGTGCAATAGTACAAGGGCATAGTCATAAAATCAATAAATGCAGTTATGATATATGTATGCCTTTTGAACACTAAATTTTGGTTTTTAACATACGTGTTACGAAGAATCATTCTATCAATTATCAATCTTCAAATTTTATTTGCATTTTTTATCTTGTTTTTGTTGACTTGATGACGCAAGCGATTATTTATATTACATAATATTTTCGTATTGGTTAATTGACACTGTTCATTACTTCAACATAGTTATCTAATTTTACTAACCTAATCTTTTGTATTACGAATAATTGTTACTCAATTTAAACATTCACCATAAGTCAGTAAAATTTTAATTAGAAATAAGGAATTACATTCAAATGATATACAAGTTTTTATTTAAAGAAATAAAATAAGAAAGTTGTATATAACTTATGAATTTCAATTCGAATATAGATTATCATGTTCTTATTAATATTTTTTAAAAACTTTTATTCGAAAATATAATTTGTATAATGTATGATCC